AGCTACTAGACATAGATCCAACAAAGGAAACAAGGTGTGGTTGGGGAACCCGATTCAACGAAAAGGACTCAGTCCTAAATTACAGTCCCTCGGATGGTCCATATACAGTGCTGAACACGAATGACGTCGTTGGTTCGGATTCGTGAGTCTTCGAACTCTTAACGACAGGTTTAGCTTATTACTATGGCCATAGTACGTAATGTAATAATTGTAAACAGTATCAGACCATGGTCCTTTTTGTTTATAAAGTTTTTGATTTGATTTGTATTTAGTATTTGATTTGCATTTATATTTATTTGTATTTAGTATTTGATTTGTATTAGTATTTGTTTTTGTATTTAGTATTTGATAGCATTTGATTTGCTTTATGTATTGCATTTATTGTTCATGTTGTTTATTATTGTAATGTATGCTTATTAATGCATTTATGCTACATTGTAAGTTTAGCTTCCTGTCCAGGCATTGTACTGCCGGGACGTGCAGTCCTTGGGAAGGGGGCAGTGTTACGAATTTTGTATTTTAAAAAGCTAATGTTAGTTCAATTATAATTAAATGGGTTTTATTTCTCGCGCAGTGCAGCCGTGACGAATATTAAAAGAAAGCTAAGCCGGAAAATTGAAAATACAAGAGCGCGTGCATTAAATAAAATAAATATCTCTTTTTGATTTCGAGAAAGTACTGGAAAATTCTAGCGCGTGATTTTAAAATCTTATAAAAGGAGGAAAACATCTCAGTTTGTAGTAGTTGTAGGAGTTGTTTAGTTTGTTGTTGTTTAGAAAACTACTGTTGTTGACTGTAGCGAATTCGCGGATTAGCGTTCTTTAGCTGTTTTCAATTACGTTCTATTGGACATTGAGTAGTTAAAAGATAACTACTGTGAGATATTGTAATACTGCATGATAATTTGAGAAAATTTAAGCATTTTTTGTTGTGATAATACTAAATTTTTGTTCATTTTTTATCGGACTTGTGCATTCATTTCATAACGAACCCGTACGCACCAACATTACTATAGAAGATAATAATTTATGAAATTGATCTGCATTCTGATGGGAAGCAAATCTGCTACAGTAAAAAATAGATATAATTAAAAAATAATTTTAAAAATGCAATAAAAAATAGATATAATTATTGCACATTGAAATCCATACATAATTTTATTGTTCATGCTTACAACAATTAAATTATTTATTCACAAAAAGAAAGACAAGTTCTTCAGAGAAACAATACAGTTAAAAATATATTGTGACAGACATTACAGGAAGCAATAATACAAATCTTATGTCATGATTGCAATTCCAAGAACTGCAAGATTTAAAAACAATATGGGTAATATATCTCAGATGAAAATAACTACAATCAGAAACAATAATAATAATAATAGCAACATAATAATAATTAACTAACATAATAAAAAATATAGATACTATGACCTCCTTGTATGGAATAAAACTATACAGAATTTTTTCTACATTTAATTTATGTTCTTGAATTATTCTAATTAATCGACCCCTGAAGGTAAATTGAAAATTAGGTACTTACGTATTATCGCAACCAGGTTGGCGCTATTTGTAAGTTTCAGTAAAAAAGTATGAATAGAAAGAAAATGTACATTTATTAATTACAGATAATTTTTAATACAGTTTTTTATATTATTTTGTTTTAGAATACAAAATAGCAATTAAACCCTTCCGATTTCAAATTTTAATAAGTTGCAGAATTATTTTTTCGGTGGAAATCTTTTGGATATTGCTTTAGCACTGATTTGAAAACCGTATTCGCCATAACCATGTACACGTCGACTTATTTTTACTTTAAAAAAACATCCCAGACTTGCACAAAATGGCATTGCGCACACTCTTGACTTTATCCATGTACACTGCTATTTTCTCATAAATTACAAAAATTTGCACGAAAATGCAGGAAATTTTGTGAATCTTCCACATGCTCTTTTTACAAAACTACGTATAACACATAGGGTTGCCATAAGTAGGGTCGCCAAATTTCGCAATTTATGCGAATTTTGGCCTGGTTGCGTTAATACGTAAGTACCGAAAATTACATCAAAGACTGTAAATTTTTAAAGTAAATATCCTGCTCAATTTTTCACACGAGAGTAAAACTTTTTACAACTTTTTTTTCAAACAAGTATAAAACTTCCCCAAATATACATATAGGAACCGGGAGACATTAAAAGCTAAATTTCATTATTTATCCAAAATTTATTTTTTTAAAAATATCTGGCATTACTAAAACATGAATAATTTTATCATTTAAAATACTTCTGTAATTGGAAGTATATGACTATGATCAATGACTACAAAAAAGAAGGCTGGGTAAGGACTTTTAAGCTGGGAGAGGGGATGGGTATTTCAGCACAGCGATTACATACTTTTGGGAGATACAGAGTATACCTAGATGATGGAAAATCACATAGCAGTGCATAGTCGGAAACACTTTCCAGGCATGGTAGTAGGGGTGGTCCAGTGCATTGGCCAGCAAGATCACCAGACCTCAGTTGCATTGACTACTTCCCCTGAAGGCTCATCAAGGCATTGTACAAAACCCCCGTAACAGAGCTGAGAAACTTGTTCCATGCATCATGGCAGCTGCTCAGGAAGTCTGGGACATGCCCAGTATTTTCCAGAACATCAGATCTTCCATGTCCCAGAGATTTGAGGTCTGCATCACAGTCCGGGTTCAAAATTTTGAACACCTTCTTTAATTAAGATACAATAACACGCTGAACAAATATTAATTTAGAAGTCAAACAACAAAAATCAGTGTTATATTTTACAATTTTCACAGGACTAGTTTTGGTGGTTTTACCGAACCATCATCGTCAGCTGCAAAAGCACATTTTTTTTTTTTTTTTTTTTTTTCACTTTTGCAGCTGAGGATGATGGTTCGGTAAAACCATTGAAACTAGTCCTGTGAAAATTTGAAAAATATAACGCTGATTTTTGTTGTTTGACTTCTAAATTAACCTTCTTTAATGATGATCACTGTCTGTTTTTGTTCTTATTTCTTAGTTTCATCTGTACTAAGCATAATAAACATGTTCTCTCATCCTGTTCATGCCCTTCCTTTCATAGATTTTGTGTTATCACTACTGTGGCAGGAAAGCATTTCCGACCATGCACTGCTATGCAATTTTCTATTGTCTGGATGTATTCTACCTCTCCTGAAAGATCATAACTGCTGTACTGCAACATCCTGTGTATATTTTTTGTACTATCAACTGCAATGAAAAAAGGAGGTGCATAACTAAATGTTATAGCAGTCCCATATACAAAATCTGAATGTTCTATGGCTAATTGTTTTTGAGTCCTTTATTCTGCAAGCACAAGTAAATATCACAAACACAAAGTTAAAATGGATTCAGGAGTGGTCAAAATGAATATTTCCTTTGAAATATGATATCCAAAATTTTTCGTGATTAATAACTTTGGTACTATCAGAAATGAATTCAGAAATATATTGTATGGATAGATGGATGTACGTGTTCATGTTTGCATGTATAATATGTAAGTACAAATGTATGTGTGCATATACATATACACATGTATGCACATACATACACACACACATGCAAACATCCATACATTTCTGAATCCAGTCCCGATAACAGAACAGTACCATAACTTTTAGCATAAATTCATTTTTTATGGTATACTCAACAAAACAGAAAATCACATGACACAAGAATTACATTCTTAAATCTTCAGCATTCCTTCAAGATTTCAGTATTAATTTAAGCACCCTATTTTTTCAAGTAACTGGGAAAATGTGAATGCATGACTCGCATTCAAAATATTCCACTTATTTTGCTATTAAAAAAAAAAGGCTACATTTTATGCAGAGAATACTATTTAATTTTTATTCAAAATAAATTATAATTTTTTAGTTTTAATCATTTTATTCAAATTGAATTATATAATTCATTTAAGAAAGTAAAAAGTAATAAGCATGATTTACACTATGCTCCAAGCTTTAAAGAAGAAATATTAAGATTATAACAAAATCCATTCATGTAGTAACTAGCAAAAAGTGAACGTATCACTCATGAAAAGCTCTTTCAAAATATTCTACTTACTTTGTTACTAAAAAAAAGGTTACATTTTATGCGGAGACTTTATCCATTTAATTTTTATTCAAATTACATAATTTTCAGTTTTAATCATTTTGTTCGAACTGAATTATATAATTCATTTAAGAAAGTAAAATAGTAATAAGCATGACTTTCACTAAGCTCCAGTCTTTAAAGCAGAAATATTAAGATTACAGCAAAACCAATTATAAACTAATTCAGGTTAGCTTAAAGGAGGGTTTCTTAAACTTTTTTGGTCATGACCCCCTTTTATCAACGAGATTTTTTTGCAATCCCCCCCCAGAACCCCATAATATTTACAAAAATTTTGTGGGACCCCATAAGTATTGAGTAAATCCGACACACGCGTGAGTGAAACTGTCAATTTTTTTCACTTGTACTGTATTATACTATTGATGTTTTAGGTCATTAACTTTAATTTATAATTTTAAGACCTAAAACAATGTGAAAATTTTAAATAAGTAACTGATGAAATGACAGCATCACATGCAAAGCAAAAAAAAAAAAAAAAAACATTTATATTATAAAAAGAATGTGTCGAAATGTTTTCGTTTTTTCTTTGTCTGTATTGTACTATCTTTTATCTGTTTATCTGTTTTCAGATACATTGTGTAAAATATTTGGTAATTGTAAAATTATTATTAATAAGTTAAAGAAATATAAAAACTGCTAAAATTTTTGGCGCCCCCCTGCTGCCCATCCCGCGAACCACAGTTTAAGAAACCCTGGCTTAAAGCATGAGGAAAATTATTGTTTTGAATGATAATAATGTTTATGTGGCTACATTTCCATTATTAAAAGAAACAAAAAACTACATTTAATCCATTATTTAATTAGTTATCAATGACTAATGTACTCGACTTATTAGTAATATTTAATGCACACATACCTGAATTAAATCTAATATCCCAAGTTCACTTTCAGATGAATCTACACAAAAGACAAAGTACAAAGTGGCATAATGTCGATATATCAATTTATAATCAGATCCACCTATTAAACTAAAAAAGAAGAAATAAACTTTAGTAAAAATTAACTGACTATTATTTAAACATTTATAGCAAAACAAGGAATATTACCAATTAAAAAAAAAACTTCGATTGGAGAAGACTTGGATTTTACATAAAACATTTATTTTATGATACATAAATTGGAGCCTCCCAAAATACAGACAAAAATTTACTTAATAAAATTCTCTAAAATGAAGAAATACATATCCAAAGAAATTAACTTATGTTTAATATTCAGAAAATAAATCATTAGTCTTACATTCATATCCTTCTCCTATTTAGTTTACTTTTTTTTTTTTTTTTTCCATTTCCCCATTTTGGATTTATCCTTAGCCTAAATTTTCTTCTCATTTATTAGTTTGACAACATTGTACCACTTAAATACTTTTCCTGTTAAAATGTTATTCAACGCTTTTACAAATTTAGATGTTCAATGAATGTATATAATGAAATAAATTCCTTTACTATATAAAAAGGGTTATTCAAATGTTCTTTAAATTTAACAATATGCCAATGTAATTTTATATGGACCTTGGTAAGATGCATTCCATTTTCTGCGATTTAAACCACTCATGTTCAAAAGTTAAGCAACAAAGAGGGGAGGGGGATGGATAAAAAGAAAAATTTTATTCAAATTCATTAAAACTTTCATACCACATGTGATATAACAAAAGACATAGATTACTTCAGGATTAAAGTAGCTACCTTGATCAATCACCAGAATCTGAACATAATAGAAAGAATTGGCAAACTTGCAAAACTAATAACATAACAGTAAACCTATAATAACAGTACTGTAATCTCTATTATCTATTTTAATAAAGAATCTGCACATATAAATGTACATATGCATGCTCCTCATATTGCCAAAAAATGGTGATACCTAGAGCCACCACATTTTCAACACACCTAGTCTTCCACACAAGTATATGCACCTTAAAGTAAAAATTATGAATTTTTATTTATTTCACATTTTATGCAAATTTAATGACAGTTTCATTAACAAATTCATGATTTAAAAGCAACGTGTAGCCATTCTGAAAAGCATAACATATTTATATGTGAAATTTAACCAGAAAATTCAACATTTTCTGATTGGGAGGTCAGACTGAACAATAGGCTGCCACCTGCAGCGTACAGATATTGCTGTGCAAAGATGTTGGCAGCAATGGTTGCTACAAGGAAACTGCCAACGAAATTAAAGCTCTAGAATTCCAAGGAGCACAAATGTGAGGCAAGATAGGATGATTGTTCACCAGACCAGAATCACCCTAACAGTATCATTGTCGACTATTCAATGCACTACAGCCACGTCTATATCTCCCATGGTACTGTCCACCATCTCACAGTGTTATGTCTGAGGTGGGGTTATGTCTGAGGCCTTTAAGACGTTTCCCTTTGACCCCACAACATTGGCGGAGTCGTCTGGAGTGGTGTCCAGGGTTATAGAGTCGGAGTTATGGAGTCAAGCAGATGTTAGGGTAAAAGGAGTCGGAGCTGGAGTTGCTAAAAACAGATCGACTCCGACTCTGACTCCAGTTTTTGTGGGACAGTTTGAATTTGAATTGAAATTAAAATAAATTGAAAAAAATCAATGACAAGCTCAGTTATTACTTTTATTTGTGGACTGTATACATTAATAAATAGTTATTTTCTATTTTATTGACGTATTAATAAATAAATATAACGAAGGAGGATGGATGTGATATTTGCCATTAGTGATTAAACTGATTCATTTAGTTACAAATCTCACTGGGAAATTTAGGTAAGCAGCAATAGCAGCAAGAACTCCCAAAATTGATGCCATTCTTAAGAAGTGAGCAATTATTGATCAAGCAACGTGATATGTAAATACATATTTGATGATAAAGAGGGTTTTTAGAATTAAGAACTTTTTTAGAAGATGTAGATAAACCTAATGTTTCACTAAGAGAAAGACTGTGGAATGATCTTGAAGAATTGGAAACTCTTCTTTCTACACTATATATAGCCATAAAAATGCAGCAATCTGAAGAATTGACAGGAGGCGAGAATGGAAAAATGGGATGTTTGTTCTTTCTGAAATGGAGGGTTTATTGCAAAAGGAATCATTTCTTCAATGAAGAAAAGAGAAACTATTTTGTTAGACTATGATATCTTGCTATAGATAGATCAGAAACACCGAATTTTCTTGGATGACGAAACAAATTAAAAAGGCAAAGAAAGCCATCTATGAACTTTCATTAAGAATGAAATTATTCTCAGAACAATTGGAGAATTCAAATCAGGACAGTCAAACTGCAGACACTGCAATTGAGTCTATATCATCCTCTTCCAGTGATGAATTAGATTTTGAGAAATATTTTTGGATTATATAGAAAAGGCTAAGGTAAAACGAATGAAAATAAAGAACCAAGGGCCTTTAGATATAATTTTTATAAAAACTATTTTAGGATGCTGGCCGTGCAAGGAGCTAGTATATAGATAGACAGATATGTAATGTTTATTTTTCAAATGCCAGTTACATTGGCCGTTAGGCCATTAAACTCCTTGCTTGACAATAGCACTGAAATCTACAAGAAAATATGTAATGTTTAATGTGCCCAGTGCCAAATTTGTGCAATTATCTGAGTTTTACTTCCTTCTCCATAGCAAAGGACAAATTTACAGAGGGGACAAAGTTATTCCACAGGCACATTCTTGGAATTACACATTCAAAGCTGTATGCAATTTTTTTTAACATCAATAAAATCCCCTTTATTTATTTATTTTATTGGGCTGATCTTTAGAATATGGTAACTGGTAGTTTGGCGACATTTTGGAGGCGATAAAGGTTACTACCTGGGACTTTGGTAATAATGTGAGCAGTACTCAGTTCCGATTACGCATTATTTTGTGTGAGGGAAATGAGAGATCATGGGATATGTCATGTGATATTAATGGACGAATTACGGTTCTTTAATCGGAAAAGGGGCGAAATTGGGAAAAAATCTGGAAATTTTGTATTTGGCTTTGTTCTGTATTTGTGAAACAGTGTTCGTTAATTTTGGATCCCATGGCCCTACTAAAGTGAATTCGAAATGGGTTATTTAGAGGGATTGAAAGGGGTAGTAATAAGTGTTTCTTTAAGGTTGTGCGATTAGAAGTAAAGATGTTTTTTATTAAGTTTTTTTATTTTACCTGGTACCTTGGTGTGAACTATAAGTATGATTTTAAAGATCCTGAAACAGAAATAAGAAAAGTTTATCGGACACGTAATCAAGATTCTGAAGAAGAATAGGTAAGTTAGTATTTTTAATTATTTGAGGATATTATTTATATGCATTGTTCTAAATGTAAGGTGGAGTAAAGTAATTTGCGTAAACGTGCATGGAAATAATTTAAATATTTGACACTAAGTATTTGTAACCATTTGTAATGTTTGCAGTATGAATTAGTTAGTGACGTTTGTAATATAATAGACAATTGTAGAGGTAAAAATTTTTTTGGATATTTTTATTTATTTTATACGGGGAAATGTTCATATTTGGAAAGGGTATATACTTTTTCCTTCCATCAGGTAATTTCATATATGTTCTTTTTACCGGGTTTAAAGATTCAGAAAATTGTTATGCATTTTCGTGAAATTTTTCTAATTTATGAGAAAAAGCAGTGTACATGGTATAGTGAAGAGTGTGCGCAATGCCTTTTTGTGCAATTCTGGGATGTTTTTTTAAGTAAAAATAAGTCGACGTGTCCATGGTTTAATGATATTTTAATTAAATGATAGTTATTTTGTGAATTTATGTTTATAGGAATTTTGGTAACGTTTAAGTTTGAAGTAACGTGCATGGAAAAAATTTAAATATTTGACACTAAGTATTTGTAATGCTCGCGGTATGATTCGTTGGTGACGTGTATAATATAATAGATGATTTAGAGGTAGTTTTTGGATTTTTATTTATTTTATATGTGGAAATGTTCTATATTTGGAAAGGGTATAAACTTTTTCGCGATCAGGTAATTTCATATATGTTCTTTTTACCGGGTTTAAAGATTCAGAAAATTGTCATGTATTTTCGTGAAATTTTTCTAATTATGAGAAAAAGCAGTTGTACAATAGATATAGTGAAGAGTGTGCGTAATGCCATTTTTGTGTAATTCTGGGATGTTTTTTAAGTAAAATAAGTCGGCGTGTACATGGTTTATGATGTGTATGTGTTATTTTGAAAAACGCGTAAGGAGTAGGTATTGTGCACTTTTTTCCCAATTTTCCAGTGAATATTTGGTCATGATTAGCAGTTTGTTAGATAAATTTCTAGCATAAGTGGTATTCGGTAGTAATTGTTGGAAGAAGTGGTCAGTAGATTAAAAGAAAAGAAACATTCTTACTTTCGTGAAGACAAAATGGCGGCGGGAAAAAAAAATAGTGGGTTGCTGTAGGAGAGTTGGTCGCCAAATTTTCGCCAAAAAAACGCCAAGTTACCATAATGTAAAGATCAATCTTTTATTGTTCAGCTAATGTAGTCTGGCGACAGTAAGCTATCAAATGACTTTGGATCTTTCTACTTTTAAAAAGAGACTATCAGATTAGGAATGCAATGAATGCAAAAGATATGTGGCAACTGTACTTTTTCCCAAATGATTCCTTTGCCTTGAAAGTACTACCACCGAAATGAGCAGTATATTTAAAAAAAATTTATAATCTTTGTTGCACATATTTCATTAAAGTCATTTCACAAGGGACTGGGGCAGAAAATGTCCATTCACATACCAGTTTTAAAACAGAGCTTCCTATTTTTACAAAAAAATTTCTAAGGTTTTTCACATGTGGTTATATGCATATGTATAAAGTTTTTTTGTCATATTCGACACTGTTTAGTCTAATACCTATGGGTTCCAAACTATGCAGAAAATATCTCTCACTTTGACAGAAGAAACAGATTCTTTTGAAACTGAAGAAGTGTTATCAATAAATGTAGTTTTTTCAAGTATGCTCTAATAACTGCAATAGACGTCGAGAAAAGTTCCTCATAATAACTTATATAGTGACAACACTTGATCTTTAACTTTCAAAAACATTAAGAAGCACTTAATAATTCAGTGCAATTATAATATATCTGTGTAAGGTTGAAAATTCGGAAGTAATTGAGTTTTAATCCATTTGTCAATATTTGTCGATAGGTGTCATTTTTCTATTATTATATTTTATATGTTGGGAACTTTGTTTATATCTTAAGAACATTTTTCCATGTTAAGTGCATTTTTAGTGAATGTTTAGGTTATCATAATCTAGGCCTTGGTAACAAATAACTTGTTGCAATTATAAATCATTGTTTTTCTTGCATAAAGAATTGCCAAACTGCACCAAAAAGATTGCTGTCTTATGTAAAAAAAATCAGATTATCTTAAGACTTTTCCAAATTTTCAAAATTCATTTTATAAAGAAAAGATAAAAATTGAACAAATTAAAAATTTCAAAAATGCAGACTACATGAAATCCATAAAATTGATTGCTTTTTAAAAACAAAAATAGCTCTACAAGCACAGCATTAACAAAGGATAAATTTACTTTGAAGGAAATGTGGTTGAATAAATTATAAGCATATGTAAAAATATAAAATTTTCAACAGAACAGATTTCACAAATGAGCGATATATGTTACAAAAAATGTTCTACAGTCAAAAGTCGTTAATTCGGACACCCATAATCCGTAATGATCTATAATCCGGACTTCAAATCTAAAAACTTTCTGCGCATGCGCCGCGTTGGCACATGCGCACAGGCGTTTTACGCGTGCGCATAAGGCCTTGACTACTGCACATATGCGTGTGCGCAAGTGCAGAATACGTTTTTGCCTGCGCGTTTAATATATAACGGACGGTGTAAGCTAAAATTATCTAATTATCTATTTCAGTTAATGTTAATGATTGCGTTGTTACTTAATCTTCGAATTGGATCCCGCTTATTATTTTTTGCAGACTGTAAGAGCAATTTTATAAAAGTAAACTTGAACTTTCGATTATGTCAAATAGAATTTCCGATGCTGGAACTTCCATAGGATCTACAAAACGAAAGTATGTTTAGATGTCCAACAAACAAAAAGTGGAATTGCTGCAAAAAATGGATAAAGACATGAAGAATGTGACAGAGAGGTTAGTGAAAAATTCCGATTTTTCGATCCGATTTTTTTTCGAAATTCCGATCGAAAAAATTTCGATTGACAAGTTAGTCGGTATTCTCGGCACAGCAATTAACGGGACTTGAACAGCAGAACTTTGTAACTGAACAAGAAATTATGTCTTTTTATAGAATTAAAGAGAAAGTACTATCACATAAAAATGAAGCAACTTAAAAACAACTTACATTGAGAGAAATGTTTAATAAAGTAAACAATAAATATTAAGCTTTTTTTTTTTTTTGTAAATTTTTGATACCCTTTAGATCATAATTGTTTCTTTATTTCATAAATTATGGTTTCATATTTTTTAATTTTTAGATTTTCTGCATGCCATCTTACGAAATTTAAACTGATGATCTATAATCCGGAATCGCCGAAGTCCCGACGAGTCCGGATTAACGACTTTTGACTGTATTATTCATATTAATCATATTAAGTGTTTTTATGTGTGAAGTTTCAAAAACATTATTTTACACAGAGAGATCTGTGAAAATTCTTTTGGAGAGAAGCAAAACACAAAAATAGCATTTTATTGACTTTATATGATGCATCTCAATATTTTAATTATATTAAAAAAATTACGACAATTAGATACAAATGAAAAAAAAATCCCAACTTAAAAAAAAAAAAAAAAAAAAAAAAAAAAAAAAAAAATTCATTTTAATTTGGTACTGATTATAAATTAAATAGTTCAATGCATTTCAATGTGATTCTAAGCCAGATCAAACTTTGCTGGGTATAAATATTTTGCTTAGCAAATTTATAGTAAATCTTCATTGGAAACAAGGTTTTCACCAAGATGCAATGTAATTCAAAAACTCAATATGATGCAGGCAAGTAAGACAATCTGAGCTCTCCAACATACTAAGCTTTGTTTACACTACAGGTAAATTTTGTCACTTATTAAAGTTGTTACATTAAGTTTCGCAATAAACTACTATTCTTTCATCAATACTTAGCAAATGAATAATGGAACACATTGAAAACATTTTTTTTTTTAAAAATGTCATAAATATTTGTGACAGAAAAGAAATAAAAGAGAAAGATGCTTGAGAAACAAGAAACATCTTACCTTCCACCTTCTAAAAAGTTACATACATTGTCATCTCTTTTGCTCACTAACTGGAATGTCTCTCGTATAATCTGTTGTTGCATATCTTCAGGCTAAAAAACAAATAAATAAATAAAAATTACAGAATAATACATTATCCAGTCTTTAATTATAAAAAAAATCACATTTTAATAAAAACAGCATTAAAGCTTTAAAGTTTTATAGCATAAATTTTAAATATAACCAGCTTTCATATTACATATGACATTTTAATAGTCAAGTTTTTTTAAACAGAGTTTATATCTTTAGATTAAAAAAACTATTACAAGATTACATTGTATTATTTGACCACGACAAGCAATATAATCTATTCCTGGAAATATAAATTATTCAGGCAGTTATTTTTTTAAACTACAGTTTTCCGCTCACAGGCAGGCATGCTTTAATGGAGGACATTTTAATGGAAGATTCGTATTCACGTTATGCATGGAGAAATTATGAAAACATTCATACAGCCTGATCATTCATCAAGATTCAAACTAGATCCAAACTATCACTATTCAATAATCAAGAAATATTACAGAATGTATATTTTTGGACAAACATGACAGATTATAAGAAGTAAGATCAACTGCTGATGAAGTACAAAATGAAGCTGTTTATAAACTCTTTCAAACAAAGGCTCTAAACCATATAAGAAACTTAATATGATTTTTCTCAAATCTAACACAACATTATTTTCCAGAAAAAATGTCCTCGTTCCCATGACAGTCTTTGTAAGTGAAATTTTTTCAAAAAGGGACCTTTTTTACCAAACAACAATGAAAAATGAAAATGAGTGGGGAAAGGAAACTTTAAGAAAAGCTTTTTTTTTTTTTTTTTTTTTTTTTTTTATCAAATAAGATATTCAGTTTCCTGAGACATTATCACTGAGTTAAGTCAATTTTCTTTCTCTCTGTTCTGAAATGTTCCGGGAGACAGAGAGAGCGAACATGGCCACTGTACTAGATATAGCTATCTTTATGTGCCACAATCACTATGGTTAATTCAGTTCCAAAGGGTTAACATAATAATTACTAATGAAAGCAAATAACATAAGGCATTAATTTATTTTTAAAATATCTTTCCAATAAGTAAATTATTATTTAATGTTGTTATAAAACCTTGAGTGAGCACATAAAAATGTTAAGGCAAACAACAAAACAATGAAAATGTCAAAATATTTAGTGAAATTGGAAGATTGTGCAAATTAAAGTTTTACATATTTTCACTTTTATAATCATTTTTGTAACTTTCGTAAGATTAAAATTATGTCAGCCAAATATTTTCAACCAAAATATATTACTTTATAAACTGCCTTTTTTTATACTTTTAAAATATAAAACTCTGCTTTTAAATTTTCTTTGGCATTTAGACATAAAATCATATTTTTATGTACAACAATCAATTCTCAAGCATTTTTAATTTATGAACATTTATTGCATTAAAATAATATAATTTAATTAAAACTACGTCATGATGTAACTTAAATTTCTTCCAATCAGAAAATAATTTCATATTAAATGTTCCTTTTGCGGCAAAAAATTTTAAAATTTCATAAAATACAATCATTCAAACAATTAATCTGCAACTGAAAAATTACACTTTTTAATTATAATATCCCACATATTATATAATTACAGAAACATGAATAAGATTTTGCAGTTTTAGACACTGTGCCCTATATTATGATTTGCTTTTCTGATATAGATCAATGTATTTGACACTACAGTTCGCGAAATACTCACATAGTACTGATAAAATTTAGAAAGCCGCGGTTTGCCATGATTATTAAATACTAAAATCGCTTTAATCATTTTTTGTTATTGCTATAGTTCACAGGCCACGAAAATTAGCGCATTCCAGTAGAAGTCATGCGAATACTGCCATGCAAACAAATCAAGAAGATAAACAAATCACATTTTACTTTTTCGAATTGTTTTACACAGCTTGCAAATACTGAGGTTGAAAACAGTGACATTTGAAAGGTTTTACAGCAAGATTCCTCAAATGGTTAATGAGTTTCCAAATCATAAATTTATTTAGGTAGAATTAAAATTATACGCATAAATACATCACATAAATATATTAACTTATTATCTCAGCTTCTAATCTAAAGTTATTCTTGAATTCTAATTTTACACTGACAGGCTTCTAGAGTTAGCAAAAGTTAGCTTCTGAACTGTCATGTAACTGGACCCCTAATCTTTATCTTTTCTCTCGTCATCACATCTATTCAGCTTTACCAAACACACTCACTACATACACCTGGGAGACACTATTTATTGTAAATGAGCACAGTCTCCTGCCCTTTTGACTACACTCATGGACTCAATCGTGTTTTTAGGAAATTTTCCATTTCTTTCTATAGGTCCCACCTTTTTTTTCCTATATTACTTTTGGGCCATTTAATTTAATTTTTATTTTGTCCAATCTTTACTTTCTGGCCTTTCGAACTCGTATAAAGAGAACGAAGTTCCTCTTTTCTCTCCTCTGAAGTACAAATCAATTCACCTATAAGTGGCGCTTTCACACATTAGTATGGTGGATAAAAATCGGTATTTTGACTTGTGATCTGACTTCGTACATTCAAAAATGGAGTTGCTTAGCTTTTCCGAAATGTTTGATTTTGTTCAAGGAGGCGTAAATTCTCGCTGTATTACTGAAGCAGAGAGAACTTTAAAAAGCTGATCATTTGGTAATGCACGGAATTTTACTTGAAATCCAATGTACAAGTTTTGGCTTTCTATTTAAGGATAAGTTCTATAGCGTCTTGATCGCATGAAATCGAAGGAACATTTCATTGTTCAAAAAGGACAAATAAAATTTCTAAAAAAAAAAAAAAATTCTTGTTCATGTAAAGGAGGAACTGCTGGCTGTTGTGGGAAATTGTGTCGCTGTTTTATGTATTGTGATGGTAGCTGTTTTAACCAGATCGTGTAGGGTTCTTAGCGCACAGGGACAATGATTTGCCCCTACTGCTTGGCCAAGGATGGAAACATTTAATTCTAAAATGTCATAAACATAGTTTGGCGCCCCTTGGATTTTTTTCCGGGGACAGATGTCCCCCCTTGCTCCCCTCTAGCTACGCCCCTGATTTTAACGTTCACTGATTGTAAACAAATAATTTCATATGTGTTTTACTTGGGATTTCCAGAAAATCTGTGCAGTGAAAAGTGTCTTTTTTTCCCCATAGAAATGATATTGAATCTATTATATGTATACTAAAAATATATTGATCTATTATATGCATCTATTATATTTATTATACACATCAAAGCACTAATTATCAAATGCAATTTTGAGAATATCAACAAGCAAAGCACTTAAAAATGAAAAAAAAAAAGACACTTGTTATAGAACTATTAATATTCTATATGTATTATAAAAATACATGCAATGAATAATACCATGACCAAACATTTCGAGAAAAAAAAAAAAAGAGCAGATTAAGTATTACCTACCTCAGTAATTGAGAAAGCAATCCTGGCATATAGCATGTGGTTAACTTTTGATTACATGATATTACAAGCATTTTCTTTAGATTTGTTTTACGAGTGGTTTAAACGACTCAATACTGGTAGTTTAATCTCACCTCAAATCCTGGTGAACAAGCTGGCTGTGCAGTTTTTATTATTATTATTAATTATTATTATTTTATTTATTTATTTATTTATTGCATGTGTTTTGTGAATACGAACCAGTTTCCCCTCTAAAGTTCTTCATAAAGGCATTCTTCTTTAGGTTGATAACCAATGTGCTTAGCCATATTCAAATACCCTAATATAACCTTACCTTTCCTTTAGATTCTATATTCACATGTTATATCTTTATCTGTTAAGATTTGTTCATAACAGGATCACCAGGATCTACCAATCTGGCAGGAGCATACTCAAAACATGTCAAAACCGTGTGACTTATAGCAAAAGCGATCATGTTGTCCTTGCAAACCTTTATAAATGTTCCAAATTTTCTTAATAATTCTTAATAATCTTATTATTTCGAAATGTGTTAATTGTTGTTTTTATATGAACAAAAGCATTTAACTATATCAATTTTAAAAATAACTGAAGTGTTCTTTTAATCAGTTTTGCTTTTCTAATGCTGTTTTCAATTATTAACTTTATATCTGAGCTTAAAATTCAACAATAAGTCTATTAAAAAGGTCTGTGTGATAAGTCTATTAATTAATTACATTGTATGAACTTTAATATCTTTGAATATGAAACACCGAACTAACACTTTGAATATGAAACTTCCTATATGAAAACACCGAGTCCATTCCAATCTAATAGAAGAATAAATTATACTTATCAAAATTCACAGTACGAGCTTCTCCGCATTATATTACAGAAAGATTAGAAACCAAGTCTCCACATAGGAAATCTTACACTGATATGATGGTCTTGTATTGAAATAATTGTAGCAACATAAATGATATGAATTACATTATGCCAAAGAATTATTTCATCCTAAATAAATTATAGCATTTAGTTTGACCAAAGACACACAAAACAAAATTTCAGATTTGTTGTAAAATTGGCGTCATGTCTTTCCCTATGCTATAATAACTCCACACATTATCTACATATTTTCTCTGTCAGTCAAGAAGATTGATGGAAATATTGGCCTTTCAAAATTATTCTAACAGATATTTCTTTTTAAGTTACATGATCAATAGAAACTATAGAGATATAGCATATAAAAAAACTTGCAAAATTATTTGTGGAAATTTGGGAGGAACAGATGCTATTTATTTGGTTAGATAATCAACAGATAAAAGTGGTTTATTAAGGATTTCTCAGTGTTATATGAAACCACCGAGAATTTATAAGTACGTTTTGATATCATGCTTATCCATTATTGGGGCTAACGTGCATTGTTATCAGTTTTTGTTAGCCAAATATGGTCGAAAGTAGAGTAAAAATATTAGGAGTTTGAAGACAATCGTCAATATACCATAATGTATTTGCATAGAAATATAATACCCAGCAACCAAAAATAAATTAAACTTATCAAATGAATTTTAGTATGCCATAGTGGTTTCATGAGAAAATAAAACATACCTCTTAAACAACTACAATCATTATATACAACAGCCATTTCATTAAAAAAAAGGCATAAATTATATAATCAGATAAAATTTGTTGTAAGAGCTTCACTATCTGGTTATAATTCTTAAGCAAACAAGAAGCCATTTCAAGTACCATAATATAATTTTTATAACAGCTATCCCATTGCATCGCAGAATAGTAAAAGCGTTTTGGTAGAAACAAGAAATTTTATGGTAATTTTCCAACCATATCCTAATATTCAGATTGTAGATTTTAAAATTTTATCATTTAAAAAGTATAATTTCATAGAATGCAAATTTTGGTACTTTTTCGTTTCGCCGGCGCAAATCTCGCCAAGCAGACTTTATTGGCGACAACACACAGCATACACATAAAAAGTATAGACAAATATTAGTTCTAAGAAATTTTTATTTTAAAGGTATAAACATTTAAATGTCATTTAAAATTTTGTAAAAAAGCCAATAAATTTGCAAAAAGACATTAATTTAAGAATTTACTATGCTTTCATGGTAAAAAACATTCTGATTTTGCCGGTTCACATCACGTGACCCCAAGTGATCTCATTTCACGTAAAGTACACTACAAAAATTTAATTCTCTCAGTAATTATCTACATTAATTTCAAGTTAAATCTTAATTTGGAATACAAGTTTAAATCCAAGAATTATTTCAGTTTGTGCGATTTCAATGGCTTAATCAGAAATTATGTAAAACGACAGTGCTTTACTTTGCTAGTGCATTCTGATTAGAATTAATGAATTTAACCTTTGACTTTGCCTTTTCTATATTTTTGCCATCGGGTGAGCGGTGTGATAGCATCCTAATTCAAATAATTACCGCCCGCGAACGCCACCAGCGGCCGAGGGGTAACGTCGCTGAACACTGGCAGTTCGGTCCGAGGTTCGAATGCCGCAAACGGGCTGGCTGCATGGGTGTTTTCGTAGTTTTCCCCATGTGTAACGTGTATAAGAGCCAGTTTCCCTTAAAAAGTCCTCCACGAAGGCATCCCTCCCTCAAGGCAGATAGCCGAGTGCTTTGCCGTAATCTAATAAACCAAACCAAACGCCCGTGAATGACCTTAGGGCATAAAATTGAACTATCTGGTAAAATTTCTATGTAATTGTATGCCAGTATTGAAAGGAACAATCAATCTGATAAGAAATGGCTGCGACTTCTTTTGAAAATGTGATGTAAAAGCTTACCAGCGAGGATATTCCCTTTGGCATTGGTTGTACCATTACTGGCGACTTTATCGCCTGCGCCGGCAAAACGGTAAAATTCCCAAATTTTTTATTCTTTATTCGTAGGGAAAACATTGTATTTGTAAAGAAAGCCAACGCTTTCTTTCTTATAAGTACATAGACTCCAGAATTCTATTGTAATTCATTATGATAAAAAAAGTATTTGTCAGTGAAATGACGTTTAAAAAACTATAAATATGTAAATCCATTTTATACGCTGCCTTTGGTCGCATTTGTTCCCAAAATGCATAAAAAAAAAAAAAAAAAACCACCTCCCACTTTTTATAAAATGCTGAAACTAGGGGTTGGATAATCAGAGACTATTTAAATATTTAGTATTTGAATGAGGTTGATTGTGTATAGCTTCATATAGCTTTGTCCAAAAACAATGTACCATTCGTATGTAACACAAAATAAAGTATATTAAACTACTGTTGACAATTTCAGTTTCTTGGTGCATATTTCATAGCTGATTATACACATGTAATATGAATATGTGCCAGTTTTCAATGGAAAGTTCAACACAAGAACATCATCTATACCCTTAGGTAGATAGCCTGAGCGGGCTTTGCCGTAATCAAATAAACCAGAACCATTCTATCTTACACTA